TCTAACTACGAAAATATTTGATTTACAAATAAGGAATCCTACTTCGCGGAATTTCATTTATCACGGTAGGGTCTAGAACCGATTAACCGCGATTAACGAGGGTTCACTGTACATAAATAAAATTAGTACCTTCCTCACAGAATCTATTGTGAAGATTGCGTGAGATAACTGATTAGATTTTGACAACCAATTGATTGCCTGTACATCTCTTATTACATGAGATAATTACAGTAATATTTAGCATACTGCCTAACAAGTTGTAGATGCTCAATATGTGTTCACTATTTTTTTTAATTTTTTTATTTTTTCACCCCCAAGGTCCCATACAATGTTTTAACAGTTCCACTGGCATATAATTAACATATCATACAATTCAATAGTTAGGTCATATTAATAAGAGTTGTACAATCATCATCACAATCAATTTTAGAACATTTTCTTCTGTCTTATACTCAGTGTTATTAGCTTCCCATTTCCCTAAAGCCTCGCCTGCCATTCCTCAAAAGAACAAAACCTGAACCAAATTCACTGCCAACTCATAGTGACCCTATAGGACAGGTTAAAACTGCCCCTGTGAGTTTCCAAGACTGTAACTCTTTACAGGAATAGAAAGCTCTGTCTCTTTCCTGAAGAGCAGCTCGTGGTGTCAAACTGTCGACCTTGCGGACCAGAGCCAAACTCATAACCTCGATACCCCCATTCTAGTTACTGTCTATAGATTTACCTATCCTGGATTGCATCTACAGAAAAACATACCAAAAAAAAAACTCACTAAAAATAGCAAGATAAAACAGAAAACCACAAACTGAAAAGAAAGTAGAAATTATTAAAAACTAGAAGAAATTTTAAATGGGTCAAAAGGGAGATCAAATGATACGGTGTTAAATTTTAACCTAACTGCATCTGCAGCAATCCACTTTCCAATGCCCTCTGCATGGCAGCAAGGCTGTTCACATCCCTGGGCCACGGTAGAGGGCACTGGAGGCATCATCCACATTATTTCCCCCTCACTTTTTCTTGGTTTGTTTTCAAACTGAAACAACTTTACAATGGGTCAAAAAGTAGATGATATTTTTTATTTAAAAAAATTTTAAGACTACAGAGAACAGTAGAAATTAGAGCTAAAAACATAAGGCCTTTAAAAATGACCTCCTAAACACAGAACACTTGTCCCCATACGACTGAGTCTGATATCCTTTGGGCTACAAAGATTCATATTAAGTAACCATGCGCTCTAAAAACACACTTTGATTGACAGTAAAAATGAAAATAAATCCAGTTGCCATTGGGTTGGCCCTAAATTCTGGTGACCCCATGCGTATCAAAGTATTGATATTTCGTAAGTCAATCACTAAGCCTTTTCCAAGATACAATGGGTGGACTCCATCCAAGAGCCACCATTGTGGTTACCTATCTAAGATATTAACCACTGACCACCACACAGGTATTTCAAAAATCAAACTATAATGAAGCTAGTAAGATACAAAATCAAAAGGAAAGGGGCATCTTTTTGCCTTGAGGACTTCTCTAACAGCTTTAAGAACCAACCTAAGGCACTGTGCTTCTGTCATAACCACATCTGAGGAGAAACGTGTTTCCCCATGCTGAAAGAGACAACTTCTATCAGTGGTTCTCAACCTTCTGAATGCCGCCACCCTTTCATACAGTTCCTCGTGTTGTGGTGACACCCCCAATCATAACATTATTTACGTTATTAATTCATAACTGTTATTTTGCTACTGTTATGAATCGGGCAACCCCTGTGAAAGGGTTGTTCAATCCCCAAAGGGGTCGCAACCCACAGGTTGAGAACCACGGACTTATAGGGATTGGAGCATAATGGTATCTGCTCTTTTTAAGAGCCTGCCTTAAGTAGAAAATCCATTCCAAAAGGTAGAAATTCCACTCCCAACTCAGAACGTCTGTGCCAGCTTGCCTAGAACATGTTGGCTTCATTGTAAACGATAAACTGAATAGGGTCCATCAAATGGAATTCTCACTACTTAACAAAACGTTGAAACAATTCATAAATTGCACGTGTGTGCTGTTGGTCTTACTACTCATTCATAAATTGCACGCGTGTGCTGTTGGTCTTACTACTCACATGGAATTGACTTTCTCCTCAGGGCCTTGGACTTGGCCTGTCACAGTGCCTTTGCTGGTGTTCTTCACCCAGCCAACCACTCCTAGTTTCTTTGCTTCTCCTTCTGTGTACTGATTTCAGGAGGAAACAAGAGAGATGAAGCCCAACCTCAAAAGTCTAAATCCATACCAGAGTTGATTCTAACATTCAAAGAATGCTATTTTGATACTGACTTCTTTTTTTTTTTTTTTCTTTTTTAACATTTTATTAGGGGCTCATACAACTGTTATCCCAATCGACACACACATCAATTGTGTAAAGCGCATTTGTAC